TCTTTAGCAACTTTGTTGCGAGAGTATAAAAACAATAGTAATGTGTGTATACATTAATTCGTACGTGGATATTTGTAGAATAGGGGTTGGCATCACAATCATTTCCGATAAATATGACAAGCTGACGGCTTCGAATTTAGCTCGAAGTATTTAATTGATATCTGTTGCCAGCCAGTTACGTAAGAAGCGAATCAAATGCACGTACAAAAGTCACAACTCAATCAGATTCAGTGTCCCTAATATATTTCGTGTTTTATCATTTAATTCAATAAAAATGGCATGAGTTAACAATCTCTAACTAATCAGCACCAAAATGCATTAGTATTTAGTTAACACCAAATAAAATTGAATAAAAATCGGGCGGTGTGAAACTTTAGCTGCTTGCAATTTGTGCGAATTATAGTCCAATTTCGCTCACTATTCAAAGATAATTAGATGCTTTAGCAGTTTTGATCGTAACATCTACCTTTGTTAGCCGCGACCGAAGAGATCGTTACATTTTATCAAAACCGTTTTCTTGCTGGGTTTACCATATGTATGAAGTTTTTAACATGTTATACTAAAGGTGATCACGGGATGACGGGAATTTGTACGCACGATCCACCGACCGGTAATCATGCACCTCACCCACAAGTTGCAGCGGTCACCAATAAAGTTGTAATAACTTCCAATATATACATTCCAGTAAGTATCACATCAAATGAACCGCGATTAGCGCCAATCCCCTCAAATCCGCCGGCGGCTAGAACAAAAGTTTTATCTAACAGTCAATAGTCGGGGGAAATGAATAAAAAACATTACATAATTGAAGCAAATGTTTAACAAGGATTTAATGCGCGGAGTGTAGAGTAAATATAAATGAAATAATATTCATGCGTATTCTGCAAAAGACGATATATTTGATAAGCTGATGTGCAGGWATGGGAGACAAATTTCAATTTCGAGTTGTTCGCCAATAAATCATAATCCTTTAAGTATCAGAAATAACCACCTAACAGAGGTGAAATTGTCATCTCGATACATATTATCGCCTACTGCACAAACAAAACATAATTAAACAGTTTGCTTATTTGAAAAATTAATTTTATTTGTAGTTWCATCGAAAATTGGCTAAAAATAATAATTTCTGAGAAAACGCCGACTTTGCTATAATAATTCTTAAATTTATACATTTTAAATTGTTCATGAAATCCGGTTAAGTTAAAGAATTCCGGAACGTTTCTAACTATCTTTGTCTTTCTATATTCTCATACAAGATGAAGTGAATTATCGTAGCGCATATGTTTCTAAGCGCTCGTCACAAAAAGTTGGAACAAGAAAGCTTGCTAATTAAGCAATTGTCACTTGTAATATACATCAGGATGAACTTATACAGATGCCTTTCCATCAGTTAGAGAAAAGTGTATGCAGCTTCCATAATGTAACACCGCCATAATAAAAATATGAGACACTGAGAAGAACAAAAATTAACTACTAATTATTACTTTCACAAAAACGAAATGAACAATATGAATCCCATCAAATATTAAAAATTATCCATAATACTGTTTTTCTGCCCACTTACACCACGGGGTTTGGGCAGCTCGTCAATGCTTCCCTTTTGATTTCACGAATTCAACCAGCCAGCGTTGCAAGATGACGTAACAACCACGGCACGACCAATTGACCGCTTTGGTTTTCGTTAACGTGCTCGTGTCGCTTCTGCAGGCATGCCAATTACCTATGGTTAGCGATCGTATTCGCTGCTTTAGCTTTWTTGTCAACGCCAACGAATATAAAAGATGTGCAGGACTTGCAACGGTCTTCAGTTTACGAAGCGTGCCATAGCGGTGCACATTTAGCAGTTAGCTCATAGTCAGTCTTCAAATATTTTTTATTTATTGAAGATACAAAGTTCTAAGAGTTCCTTGAATACGCTACCCGGTGAATTCGAAGCGATTATAGGTAAGTGCCAATGAAGTTAATGTTTSAAAAAATCGAAGTGATGTATTAAGAAATTGCATCTAAGTCTCGGATGGTTGTTGATTTCGGAGGTTTTCTGGTTTTTGAGAAAGAAAGATTCTTAAAAAACCCACCAGAAATATATACTTGAAAATTTGGCTTTTTAAAGTCAATTTGCCAAATGTTAATTATTTATTTATGAAATTTACTCAATTAAAACCGCAGTGTTCAACTCAAAATTTCTGCGATTTCCTATACTATTTTATTTTATTTTATTTTTTTTTATATTACAATTTATGAATTTAGTATCCCAAAAAATGTAAATATTAAATCAAATTCACCTTTGAGACAGATTTTCCCTTTTACAAACCTTGCAGTCATGTCGGCGATGCTACGTGGTGYTTTTCTCCTGCTTATTGCCGTGCTTCTCCTGAGCGCTCACAACACCGCGGCCAACAACTCACGGCCGCCACGCAACAATGACATTAGCAACATGGCCGACGCACTGCGATATTTACAGGACCTGGATGCTTACTATGGCGATCGGGCGCGTGCCAGGTAATGATTACTGCAGTGAGAGTATGCCACGGCGTATGATTAATGATTTTTGACCGTAGATTCGGCAAGCGCGCGTCTTTGATACAAATTTTGCGGCAACATCTACTCGAAAACCCGGAGCTGGTAAATAATTTGCATAATAATAATAATAGTAAAGTGTTAATGTTAAATGTTGTATTGATACTAAACGATTTTTAAACTATTTTCATTTCGGTACTTTCGTATGTTTGGCTTGGACAGTTGCAAAACGCTGAGTATAAGTCATTGGATGAAGTATATTAAACAATTATCTGGATCTCTCTAATTAAAATCAACGGACAAAAAATCAAAAAACAAATGCCTAATACTAGCAACATCTGTAAACAATATGAGGTGAAAATAACAGCAAATCATATCGCAACTCTGTAGTAATTTTTTCAAAACTTTTGGAGCAAGTTTTTCTGAATTATAATATATTGTGTATGTATGTATGTATGTTTGTTAAGTAAAGCATTTACCATTATTAAATATATATACACTTTTAAAGTGAACAAAATAAACCCGAACTCAATCAGCCATTTCTAAAAGACTTTGGATTGATACAAGTAGASTTTAAGTTAACTGCTACAGGAAACTAGTAGAAGTAAGAAAATTTAATTATTAATGAGTTACTGAGATTAAAGGACGTTTAAGGTAAAAACATGTAAGCCATACATATTACCTATAAGACGTATTTTCAGCTKAATGTGTGAATGATTAAAATTASCAAAATTATAGTGGAAATAGCGCCATGACCCCTTACATCCAGGAMAAGTTATTGCCTGGTTCGATGTACATCTCGAAGAAAATATTGGCCCATACCTTTTTCTAAACCAGATGATAAAGGAAAAGTAGGGTAGATACTGACAGTCCATAGCAACCAACTGAACTCCGACTTAATCAAGCGATGCTTTCACAAAAGTCGCTCACTGCTGCCAGCTGTCATTAACTTTTCCTTTATCTACCCTACTGACAGTCCATAGCAACCATTACTAGTTCAGGGACAGCTTAAGAAAGTCGTGTTGTTATTGTTATAGCGACAGAAAACATTATTCAAGTAATTCCAAGGAATGATGCCGATTTGACAGTCTTTGGCTGGATAAAAATCCGTGTCCGCTCGGGTTCCGTAGACACGACTGACGAGGRAATGGTTAAGGAAGTCATCTAACAATGTTCATGGATAGCAAAAAATGTACACGTAATATTTTGACAAAATTTTGKATATTTTTTTAATTTATTCTTAAACTTGAATAAAGAAAAAATCCTACGAAGGTCGAACAACCMCTTTAACCTCGTAGTCTAATATCCACAGCACAGCGGATATAGCCGATTTAAGTTATGGTGTACTGTTAAGTGAATAAACTCTAATATTTAATCTACCAGATTTTATCCAGATTAAAAAGCATTTCATTTTCATTTTATCAAAATCGACGGAACTGAAGCGCAGCAACTCTAYGCCTCATTATTCCTATTGGGATATTTGCCTACAATGCTACAATTAAATACAAAATTGACAGTAGAAATGTAATTACCGAATCATATCGACACGATTATCAAAGTAAATAAGTATTTAACGCTGCCGCGCCACACATAGGGATTCCAATTAATATGTAGAACCGAATAGTGACGCATGAGAAGCGTTAAGTAGGCAACGCTGCTGTCTATCTTTAACGGTAGCATTTAAGCGTTTAATAGCATACTTAGTAAACTGAGTCTGCACACAAACAAATATAATCATACAAGTACATATATGGCCTTTCATACAACTGACTTATCGCCCGGTGTTTGTCTACAAATCAAAATCGACGCTTGTTGTAATCAGCGAAAGCTTTCAATTATTTGGTTTGTGGTTTCAAAATAAACCAATTATGAATTCACTTCAAATGTATAAAAACGAATGTCAATCGCAACAAATGAGCGCGATAAAAAAGGCGAGCGGTGCTGGAGGTGACTCACATGTGAGTGGCAGTGAAARTGCCGCCGACCAGGCCGTTATGTGGAACTGCGCGAAAGGATTAGGTTAAACTGAAATTCAACAAGTTAAGCATGGCAATACAATCGCAATTTCATTATAAATGATAATAGTGTGGTCCGTTCCTGCTAATTCCGCCTACCCCAAATGATTTCGCCGACTGCAGCGGGGGTAATCTTTGGCAGGCTTTCATCAAAAATGCAGATATGCGAAAATTCAATTTGTTTTATGCGTCGCAATTCATAATCCCTTAATAGGCGCTAGAAATAATTGGCGTGCAGCGACGTTGTTGATTTATCAATGATGTGCCACTCCTTCCTCCGTGCATGGTCGACCACAACAACCACCACTGTCACATTAATAACCAATAGTAGGCGSGAAAATTCGCTGGCAGGCTAATTAATTTTTCACTGCAATAATGACCCATCAAAGCGCACGCCCCCATCGATACGTCAGCGTATTCGTAAACACATTAGCAAAAGTTTAAATTAATTTTTATGCTGTCAGTTGTTATCATTGCCAATGTCATTATTATAATTTATTTAACGTACAAGTTCCATACAAAAGTCCTCAAAAAAAGTGAACGCCAAAATATGATTTCTTTTTCTGTTTCTGTATGCATTAGCAAGAATTTAGAATAAAACAAGAAAAAATCGTGTAGTTCGATTGCACCCAAACTGGAATACCCTTCACAAATAAAAAATTTTCCATACAAAAGCTTGATTCCGATCATCATTCAGTTTGTAGAGCGACCGATCTAAAAAATTATGTTTCAGATATTGATATGAACACTGGAATTAAATACAGGGTGTTCCAAAATAACCGCCAGATTTTAATTTATCGCCATTTATTGCACAATCTCTCAAAAATAATGAAAGCTTGTGGCCGCAGTTCGAAGTTGTTTTAACTTGCGTTAATTTCGGGACACCCTATATAATAATTTCGAAGAAATTTTGTAGAGATGTATTGTAAAATAAAAAAGTTTATTTTTCAACGACTTGATTCCCACCGTTCAGTTTGCATGGTGGCTATATGTTATGTGGTGTGATGAGATTTCAGAGTAATATCTCAAAAACAGAGCAACTACTTCGCATATATATAGGCAAACGGACAGATGGACATGATTACCGTTCCCATGACAGTCGGGTTTACGTAACCAACACGGACCCGGATTTTTTACATGGCCAAGGACTGTCAGGCAGAACTCTGAAGCTACAACAACAACGAACATAGTTAAAATAATTCAACTCGCCGCGCTTATCAATTATATAAATTTTTCATACAGCCTCCAACGTTTTCTCCTGTGCATTACTAACYTCGTGGCAATCTTAATATACACTGTTTAGGATATATAAAAAGCATTTGCACATGCTACCATATGGAAGCGACAAACTTTCTTCATTTCATTATGCAGCCTTTTGGTTTCCTCTGCCTACCATTACTTTTAATGAAATTCTAAAACAAAAAAAGTTTGACAAAACAACAACACGTTTTAATAAGCGCAACAGGTATGACAACTCTTAACTCTCTATTTCCATTTCTCATACATTTTTCCTTTGTCACCCCTCAATTATTCAGTTTTCATTTCTACCACAGAAGCCACTTCCGTTGTGCCATTGCACCACAATTGTTTTTTTTTTTTTTTTTTTGTCGTCTCTTTTTGTCACACGCGATCGTATTTCCTCTCGGGCAACGCAGATAATATTTATGGATATAAAAGGAGCAGAAACCAGCGCTGCTTATTAGTAGCCAAAGCGTGTGGCAGTGATAAACGTTTAGTAATTGGTGCGCATTCCGTTAGAAGCCATTACGTCCTAGTAAGTTAAATTAAGACAAATATGGTGCTCGTGATTTTAAACTGGTGACTGGTAAACTAGTTTTCTGAATAGTGTTCGCTCTGAAAATGTTTATATTTTTCATGTGAATATGTGTTGTTGTTGCAGATGTTTTACTCAAAAAATATCAAAAAAACGTTTTTTTTTTCAGAATGAGTGAAATATTGCAGTTAGAATATCCGGAATGCAATATACATGTATATTTTCAACTCCGATGCACTGTTAAGCCGAATAAAATCGAAATAAGACCTGATCGTCAATTACTGCTACTTTGTGTAACTCAAATGTTTAGATTTCCTTAAGGCCAAGACTGCTTTTATCGGCAAAAAACTTTTTTTTTCACCAGAACTAACTGACGGCTGCTAACCAGACATTGAAAAAACTGCACTTAGTGCTCAGTGTTACATGAAGAAGTTTTTCGAAAACTAATTGAACAGCTCTATTTCATGAATAATTTGTCACATATTCTAGTTAAGAACCAGTATGTTTCAATGCTTCGCAAAACTTCGAYTCSCTGCTCTTTGCACTGCCTTCCTAAAGMAAATTTTTCTAGTTTGACATAGTTAATGCGATAACTTCTTAGAGCTAGCCAAACTTCATTTAAAATTTCATGTCTCATCTCTTCCTCTTATTTTTCCAGCAATGTCCTCAGTTCTACGCTTCGCTCTCATTGTGATTGTTGCATTGGCACTTCTGACAGCACACACCGCAACAGCCAACAACTCCCGTCCGCCACGCAACAATGACATCAGCAACATGGCCGACGCACTCAAATATTTGCAGGACCTCGACACATATTATGGAGATCGAGCACGAGTCAGGTAATTGCACTTAAAGCTCGAAGAAAATATTTTCTAATGCTGTTTTTTTCGAAACAGGTTCGGTAAACGCGCGCCTTTGTTATGGTTTTTGCGCCAACATTTACTCGAAAATCCCGACGTGGTAYGTGATTCAGTCAAAACGGGCTAGCTTGCATTGTTTTTCTCAATATGTCAACTTCCTATTGTAGGTCCGAGCCATTGAAAATCCTGCCGCTGACGAACCTTTTTAAGGCTAACACTATCCTACAAAGTCACATATTTAAACGGCATTGAGCTTCAAGATTCTGAGTACCCACGCAAAGGATTCAGTAGAGATTATGTTAAAATACTGCATCAGAAATTAGACCTTAAAACTTTTTAAAATGTTAAAAYTGGCCCATAATGGAGACTAGTTTCCATCAACTTATGAGTTTTTGTACAGTATTAATTAAATTGCAAGYTTCAAGTATTGCCTGTTTAAAATAAATTTAATTTTTATTTACATTATTTTTAACTATTTTCKTTCATATAAATATAAATGAAACTGTATATGTAAATATCTATACTCGTATATGTAAAAAAACGCTTTCGGATGATAAAGCTTATAACCAATGTTAAAATATTATTAAATGTCACAAGAAAATAAAGGCAAATTGTGTAAAACCACAGCAAAAAGAGCAAAATGCACTCAATATTTTGATATGTTTCATTCGTTGGCAAACTCGTAAAACATAACGACAGCTTGGCATCCACTTCATATAGGTAGGAAGTGCACTAAAAAGCCGCAGACTAGAAAAAAAGAAATATATATATAAACAAGTAAG